TCAGTTATCTTAATCAGTCTTACTCTGAAGCATCCATGCCTTTGCTTTGAGTTCCACAAAGACCATGACATCGAGCCTTTGTCATTTTCAACTGTACTTATGTCCCTGTTGTCCTGGAGTCCCTTTCTAGCCTTCTCCTCTGGGACAGCGTATTTGAGCCATAGCTCTACTTGTAACCATATGGTGCATGCATGCAGGAGGTATCTCAAATAATTAATAGAAAAAGAAGCCTTGGTGATCTCCTTGTTATCCCCGTGTCTTATCTCCTAGCACTTCTCAGGACAGGCTGTGTTTGTGGGGAATTCTTTAAGCCATCCTAAGCAAAGTGCCATTGTCTGAACATTTCATTTAATCTTCCCCTAACTTCCCTGGTTTAGGTTTAGGTCTGCCAGCCTGTAGACTAACCAGTAGCATGAAAAGAACATCAGGCTGTACTGATTGTCTTCAGCTGAATACAACAGGATTGCATGTGGCCAAGAACACAACGCTGGAAAAGAATGTGGAAAGTAGTGAATGAATTTTAGGATCCCCCTCCCAAATACCTCCAATGAATTAAAGGAAATGGGAGATAAGTCTAGAATATAGAAAGCTTCAGATATATTCTGCGTTGCTATAAAGAATTAAGAACCTTTCTTCATGATGACTGACCAGTAGCTTTCCATATATCTAAAGAAAATCCCACTCTTCCCCATATCCAGATCCCTCCTTCTCTAGATATTTTGGATGGAATTTTTATTCCAGAATTGATCTGATTATTTCTACCAAAACATATCCAGAATACCCCTTACCCTCATGTTACTTTTCCCAGATTTTCTCTTTGTGAAAAAAATCTACCAAATCTTCTTTATCCATGGGAAAGGGGTGGTAATGGGTGTTCTACCTATTCACAATAATTACTGTGTACCTAATAACATGTTAACATTGGCAGCCAGCATTTTGGGGTACTTGCTTCATTCTGAGCACTGTGAATTTCTTGTTAGCCTTACAGCTGCCCTCCATAGGAGATGATTCTGGGTTTATACATAAAGAGACAGAAGCAATTGTTAGAGTTAAGTGGCTAAGAAGTGCCTGAGCCAGAATTTGAACTCAAGACATCTGCTGATACTCTGAACTATTCCATTCTTTCTTCTCTCTATGCCAGGCGTTTGTAGACAATCTGGAAGTTCAAAGAAATAGAAAACCCGGCCTCTGTCCCAAAGTTCCACTTGATATATGGAATGAGATGCTTGGCATGAGATAGTGCTGGTCAGGGCACTTATGCCTGATGAAAATGGGTATATAAATATTTATCACATCTGCCTCTAAAGACTGGAGTGGGAAAAACCTTCAGTTTCAGGAGGTGAGGTTGTCTTTGGGAGTCATTTTTATCTCAACACTTGCCTTCCATGCTCAACAGAAAGTAACAGGAATGCATCAGAAAAACCAGGGGACCATTTCAGTGGGAACTTGGGCTGTAGATGAATGACTCTTGAGTCTTTTCCTGATTGAGGATTTCTTATTCTATCTATCTAATGCAAATACTCTTTTGGTGAAATAAGAAGATATTCCTAAAATTAATTCCTGAGTGTTAGTTTCACCAGTAAAGGGAGCATTCCCCAGCATCATGATTCCCTAGCTATAGATCCTTCAAGGACAGTCCACGTGCCAGTGTGCTCATATGGAGATTCAAAATGCAACCCCCACCCCACCAGTATACTTCAGTTTGTTAGTTGCCCAGGTAATTGTTCCTGTTCCAGTTCTGGTTGATTCCATCTCTTAGAAACAGCTGGTCACTGTGATGCATAGCTGGTCACTACAATGCACATTGTATAAACCAATCCCCAATTGACAGTCCATTCTGCTTCTGTACTTCCTGCTTGATTATCCCATATAAGCCCTAGAGCACCAGAGATCAGGGCCTGATATTTGGGAATGATCCTGATTAGTGCCCCTTGACGTGAATAAATCTGCCTCCAAATCCTGGGTGTCATTTCAGTATTTTTGCTTGCCATTGCACAACCAGAAGCATATCTTCTGCTGCCAGCAAGAAAGGTTGGGCTGTAAGACAGTCAGAAACCTGGACACAATTGACACCGGCCCTTTTGCCAAACTTGACTCTGATGAGTGGGGAAGATGCCATCTCTTGGCACCAAAGGCCAGATCGCCTCATCCCTTGAAAGAGAAGACACCTGGATTTCTCTTCTCTCCAAGGTCACCTATGGAATCTGGGTCAGCCTAACATATTAGACCACAGTTTTCTCATGTTAGAGAAAATGGTGATAAGAAATTTTTATTTATCTTTAATATGACCCTATACTAGGGAAAAAAGTCTGTTTTTTTTCTAGACATTTTCTTTAGAAGTAGCAAAATAAGCAGAAGCATTATGATTGCTGAAGATTTCTTACCAACAAAGGCATCCTGTTTGGGAGTCCTTCATGGGGAAGAGACAGACCTTCAATGAAGAAGTGCGTTTGGACACCCACCATAGTTTGTCAGTTGCAAATAGTAATGGAACCAAGCTTGGTGACTCAAGGGGAAAATGGAATATGAAAGCAAAATGAAAGAGGCCTATGAAGCAAGCATGTCATTTCTAAATGAAGGTTTCATGCAAAGGAATTGAGTCTTTTCACAGCTGAAAATGGAATCTTTAAATAAGATAAAATAAAAGAATGTTGTGTCTTGTTGCAGGTTCTATAATGAAATACAGTTTTCCTAATATGGTGTGACCTGCATTTCTCCCCGCTTTTTGGGTGCTATTCCTTGACGTACAAACCCATATTTTCTCAAGTCAGCATTTGATGATGGATGTCAAAATACAGGCCATGTATTATGCATATAGCATTACCGATTTAAGGTGTTTACTTGTCAAGTTGAAGAAATTCAAAAACGTCACATCCACTGAATCTGCACAGCTGTCACTTGCAGTTTTTCATGCCTTTGAGTGAAACTTCTGATGAAAACAGTTTAGTTTCCCCCTTCACTATTCAAGGGGAAAGAAACAGCCGGCATTTAAAATGCATGTTCTTGGTTATGTGGTTGGCCAAAAGACACACCTTCCAAAGTTTAGGAAGATGGATATTATTATGTCACTCAAAATGAATTACCTTGTTCATAGTATGTTAATAGGAAGAATAAAATTAAGGTCAATCAGGGAATCAATAATAAGTAAAACTTTCTTCCTGAAACTGTGGCACTTACTATGAAATATATACACAAGAGAGCAGAAAATAAGAAACTCTTATATTTCTCTGGCATTTCATGCGTAATACACCTCCCAAACAACAGGCAATTACTGAGTACCTGTCCTTTCATTCCTGATTCACATGTAGCCAAAATGCCAGATTTGGCCCAATCTTATCACATTCATGGGGAGTAAGTCAGAAATCTGGTCACATTATGTAGTTAGAATTTTGTCCAGGGAAACCTAGCAGTGACTTTGTATTTATAAAACCCCAGTTCCTTGGTAAGTGCATGCAGCAAAGAAGAGAAGCTGAAGTGACTGAACACCAGCCCATCCTCCATGGTGGGGAAGCAAATGGAGCCTCAAGCCAACATGGGGTCCATGGGTCTGGCTCCACTTGCCATGTGCTTCATTTGGAAAAGTTAATTTCCACCCAATACATGTATGTGGCAAGTAGCTTTCTCATGAGTTGGCGTCTCTGTGCATATCCTTAAGGAAGCATCCATCATGTTTAGCTGGGATAATTTCTCATTCTTACTGAAATTGAAGTTCTGAATGGTCCAAGCTCATCCTAATAGGTATTGAAGGCTTGGTTTCTGGGACTCAAAGAAGCCCAAAGTTTAAGATCATAAGCCAAACAGACCATGTTTCAGCTTTCTTGTGTCTACATGTGCACCCTGTCTTTATCTCTGTTAGGCATAAGATGTTCAAGGAGACCACTCTAAGCTAATTGTATATACATCCATCAAGAGGATTTTAACACCAAGTAAAAGAAATCCCTTATCCCTTTGACTTAAACAAAAATATTATATTGTGTAGGTGTATAAGTGTTATATTGCGTGCATGTGTGTATGTTTATTATGAATTTATGCGTAAAATCTCATATATAAGAATCCTAAGATAGGGTGGTTCCAAGATATTTTCCTAAGAAACTCCAGGACAGTTCTTTCTACTACTTAATTCAACCAATAATGTCAGGGAATTTTTGTACTGGGTGGTGTTCATTTCACTGGCAATATGGCTGCCACAGGTCCACATACTCTAAGCAATCATGCCTGAAGCAGTCACTGGAAGAGTAATAGAGAATCTCTTCCTATGTGCTTCTTTTTTTAAAGAAGGCAGGATCCTCTAAAAGGCTATAAGTAGATTTCATCCCACATCCTATCTACCAGAACCCAGTTTTGCAGCCCCATTCGTTAGCAAGAGGATCAATGATCAATGGGTTCAGGGTAGCAGTTAGGAAAGGTTAGGTTATAGTGTGATGACAACCACAGGTAGACAAATCTCAGTGGCCCAAAGCAAAGCAGCTTTAGTTTTCTTCAGACAGAATGTTGTGTGGGTATGGGTAACTGGCTGGGGCTTCTGTCCAGGCTTCATCTCCATAGTGGCCAGTGTTCCCACAGTTGCCATGGCCTGAGAAGAGGAAAACAGCAAGTCAAATACTTCTATGAGAACTGATACGCATTGTTCTGTTCACTTTTTGTGGGCCAGACCATTTCATATGTCACATAATCTAGTCTTAACCCCAGAGGGACACAGCTACAATACTCCGTGTGCCAGGATGGAGAAAGATATTAAAATCTGTAAGCAGGATAAGTAATTGGTGTCGTCTGGGAGTTTTAAAGAACTACCGAAGTGAGTTAGAATTATTTACAGTAGTTTCCTGCCTCATCTTTGAAAAAAAAAATTCTCATCAGACTTTATCTTGGTCATGTTAATTGTTGATCTGTAAATAATGCATAACTACATTTTTTTTTGAGTTGTGTAGACTCTACTCATTATTCCCAAATTGTTCACTTCGCTAATTTTCTCCCTCCCTCCTTTCTTCCTTTCCCACTAGGATTCACGCCTCCAGGAATGGACAGATCCTCTCCAGATAACAGCCCAGTGCATGGGATGTTACGCCAGCCATCCATCACTACTGGGGTGAACATCCCCATCATCACTGAACTAGGTAAGGGTCACTGTCACTTCTGAGGGGTGGAATTTTTCCTTCTCTTCCAGACCATGCAGGATATTAGAGACTGGCCTGTTTCTTAGCCCTTTCGACCTCCTCGGCTCTCGTGGGGTTTGTCTGGGGAGGTTGCAGGTGGATATGGGTAACAGCTCAGATTACCTGAAGGAAAAACTGATCTATCTTTCCTCTGGGATGAATAGACAGTTTCCTTAATGCTGGTCACTGTTTCCAAAGGAGCATGAGATGATGGCTTTGAAATGGGGGCATATATTTGGGAAAGGGGAAGAAAAGAGGAAAGCTTAGATCTTGATTCTTTCTGGTGACTTTTCACAGGGAGCACCTCTCATGCGTTCTCCCAGCCCATTCCTATGATCTAAGCCCTCTGCTGATGTACAAAACCCCGGGTTTACTCCAAACCCACTTTGAGAACTGTTCAAAGCATTGGTCTAATGTGGAGCAAGTCTGCACTTAGCCTATCCTACTTGAACTTCTCTGCCAAAAGCCATTTTCAGCAAATGGCTCTAAAAAGTGATGGGATTATGAGTTCCATAATCATTGGCCAATGGGAATCCAGCTTCTGGGATTGGGCCAATGGGAATTCAATCCTGTCCATGTGGCACCCCGCTACCATTTGTTAATTTACAAAACAAATGGAGCTCTTCTCTCAAGAAAAATGCAAACTTCCAATGGTCCTGGGTGCCTAAACTTCAGAATTGTTTCCTGTCATTCCCTCACTGTTTTCTTTTTCTGTACTTTTCTCCAATCCCTTTCCCCAACCCTTAAATACCGTATCCCAATTAGCTAAACCGGGCAAGTTGCCTTTGGTATCAGTCAATCAGGAAAAAAACAGTGGGACGCACATTCTAATGATAACTGAACTGGGTAAGAAGCACTGTTTTCCTTGATATCAGTATCTCCTTTTGTTCTGTTCTTGGTGTTTCCAACTATCATTGGCTTGTTGTTTATTTCACCGGCTGTAACAGAAAGGCTACCCCATGGCACTGCTTTGAATGTGTTTTATTTGTGGCTCTGGTTGGAATCGACTGTCTTGTTCTGGCTTTTCTTAATGATTTTTTTCCCCACACAGCATCAGTAAACCTTTGATCACACCCATCTGACCTGGCAGTTGTTTTCAAAGTATCTTTGCTCTAATTCATTTTCTGTGGCCCAAGCCTTGTTTTTCTCACGTGTGCCCCTGCTCTCCCGCCTTCTCCCTATATTCCTTTTCCAACACACTGTCAGTTTGACTGACATGTCTTCACAGCTCTCAGAGAAAGTCAAAGGAGAAATATAAAAATTTTAAGATAAGAAACCTAAGACAGTGCCTTCCCTCCAGCTGTTTATTTTCCTTTATACTGACTTTATTTGCCTTTTTTCCCCCTACTAGGCCCTTTCTCAGAAGCTCTGGTTCTGAAACCATAAAAGCAGCTGGTTCCTAGGGGACCCTTTCTTACTAAAGCCAGATTTCCAGAAGGGTGCAGCAGATGAAGTTTGCAGTCCTGCACTCTGACCCCCACCTCCCTGGCCCAGAGCCCTCTCTGGGAGGTTCACAGCGAATTCATCTGCAAGATAAAGGCCTCTGGTCATGACTGCATTTGGCAGAACCTTCCATGGTTTGCCCATGACTTGGTTAATAACCCGATGAAGGGCACCTATCAGCAGTGAGTCTCAGGACTGGGCATTGATCTTCTAAATAGAGACAGTGAAAGTGCAGCTTGCCATAGGAGTAGCTGGAGAGGCAGGAGACACCTGCCTTCAAATGACTGAAAAATGAAATGAATACTCCATTTTCCTGGCCCAAAAATATATTTCAAAATAAGAGAGCAGACTTTTAACACACTGATCTTGTTTGTGAGGTGTCTAGAAACTAAGGAATAGATTGCCCACCATTTAGCACTGCATTATTGTAGACATAGCTATTTATCAGTGCAAATTCACCCAGGTCAAGGAGTATCACGCTGTTTTGTGTTTCCAACCACAGAAGAGGTGTCTTTTTCATGTTCAACGTGGTTGGCTAGAAGCCTAGGTTTGCAGGTTGGTCTTGTTAGAACTACAGGGCTGTAAGAGACTCAGGGAGTTCACATGGACCAGACCACTAGTGGGAAATTCATCCAAACATCTCAGTCCAAGAGCAGCTTTCAAAACATCTGCACCAAGGATTTTTTTTTTTTTACTATTACTTGGAATTCATTGGCTAAGTAACTAGGAAATCCTGATTTGTGATTAGTGCAAGAGGAAAGAAAAAGCTTGGTGCCCTGTATCTAAGGCAACAGTTAGGTATTCAATAAGCGTAACTGACTCTCCTGAAGCTCTGCACTTCTGAGTTCATGTGTTCTCTGAGCTTCCCTTGGCTGACACTACCCTTACCATTTGCCTGGTGCCCTGTTTCTCTAGGAATCATTCTCTAACCATGTCTCCCATACCATCCACCACAGATACAGTGTTTACTATTTATTTGCCTGTTCTGAGATATGTGCTATATTATACCTAGCCAGCAAAAGGCCCTTGAGAAGACAGACAGAACCAAGGCCAAACAAGTTCTTTATGCTATATAATATGGCCGGTTATGGTGGCATACTCCTGCCATCCTAGCACTAGGGAGGTTGAGGCAGAAGGATCACCACTAGCTCAAGGGCAGCCTAGGCCACATAGTGAGTTGAAGGCCAGCCTGAATCACATAGCGAGACCCTATCTCAACCTGCCTAAATATAAATAAATAAAATTTTAAAAATAAACTATATAATATGGCCCAGTCTTTACCTACCTAGAGACTCCCAATCCATGTTACCATGGCAAAGATTCCTAAAAGTTCCAAATAAAAGAGGTTGTTTAAAGCTATTTAACTACTTCATCCCAATTGTAATCAGCCACATACATTTTAGGGTGATGTTTTTGTCACTTCTTAAAACCCACATAATTACTATTCTGTGAAATAGGCATTCAATAATTCTGGCTGTCCTCCTTCTGAGACTAGGCATCCCAGAACAATACATAAGGTTTTCACTGAACCTTGCCTAGAACCTCGGAGTTTTTTTTCCCAATGATCCACCTTCCTTGTCACTGAAGATCTGGAGTCTTCTCTGCTACTTGGAGCTACTTTGCCTCTCAGTTTTGATACCATCCCTTCTCCATCTCCTGAAAAGAAGTGACAGACATTGCTCCCTTTGGAGTGTTCATGTATACATGATTAGTCACAATTATAAGCACACTGCACATGGTCTCCAGCTCACATTTTGTGATTAACAAAGCAGAAGCACTAACATAACATACATTGTTAAAAGTCAAAGTTATACTGAATCTAGCTTGAAATCTTGATTGGCTTCATTTGTGATTCTAGAATGGGGCACCACCCAGGCCACAGTGGCTCAGAATGGACAGATCATATTAGCAGTTAGTGAAAAGGAAATGACAGAGAAAATAGAAGTGAAGGACTGAGTCACTATCATTGGTGACAGGCCATATCTGTCTTACGTGGACCTGGTTGGACCAGGTTGTGATTGGATACTTGTTAAAAGAGGACATTATAGTTTGTTTAAATCAACAAGTAAGGTTATAGTTCACTATGTATGGAGACACATTTGGGCAAAATTTAAAATACATATGGATGCATCTTTAGTGCAAACTTAATTCAATTTAACAGGACAAACAGAAGAAAGTGAGGAAAAACTACCATTTGAGGGATTTATAAGCAAACATGTAGTGTTTCTAAGAGAGGCATAGGGAAGCTGGACATTTTCATAATGTGATGGATTGATACACATTTAATGTCAGAAAGGTAATCATGGTAATAGCCTCTATTTATCTAGTGCACAGCCTGATCTACATGCTGGGCTAAACTCACCAGGCCTGATCACATATGAGCCTACAGACAACTTTTTTGAGAGACCTGCCTTAATATCCCCATTTTAGTGAGAGGGAACCTAGGGTGAGGATCAGAAAATGCTTTGCTCAAGAATATTGGTAAGAGTCTTGACTCAAAGCCCAGTTGTCAGAACCTGGATTTTGGACTTTCTACCAGTAGCTTGCAATTCATGTACTGCTGAAACCATGGGGACCCAACATAATGAACTTTGGAAAAACAGAGCAAAGAATTCCCCTGTGAGAATCTTCCTGTAGGGAAAAAAGATGATGTCATTTAAAAATAATTACACGCTTTGCCTTTTATTGTACTATCATTTATTCTGCCTCATCCAATAAACAAACAAAAGTGCTGGTTTTTGTTTTTTTTTTTTTTTCAAAAAAGAAAAGTTGTCAAGAAAGTTATTGTAAAAAATTAAAACAATAACTCCAGGAAAGAGAATTAGCAGCGGATACATTAAGAAAGGAATCAGAGAAAAGAAATCTCATCTGTTCTCTTTCTAAAAGCATGATAATTATTCCAGAAATCACAAGTACCCCTCTTCTCACTGCCCTCCCCCACTTCTCCCCTATTACTTGTTCTGCAAAAGTGATAATTTCTGAAGCCAAGATGGGAATGGAAATTAATTTGTCATTTAATTTTTAATAAGTTAAAGACATCTGAGTGACACAACTAATCAGTCTGCACGTGTGTGCAGAGGAGTCCTTGAGGAATCCTCGGATGGAAATGAAATATAGCATCCAGTGCTGCATCTGCTGAAGTAGAAGCTCAGAAAAAATTGAGCTGTTTAGAAAGGGAAAGGAAGAGCGTGGGTGTAACCTTGCAACTCAGAATGCAGAAAGTCTTTGTCAGTATGCAGCAGGAGACAGCTAGGGCTCCATCTCACTCAGAGGTTCTTGAATGTCCAGCAGGCCCTGTTGGGAGAATTCAGGGTCCAGGGATACCAGGCAGTATGCAGGGCAGGCTGTGGGTCATACCTGAGGGTGAATTCTTTACAGTACCTTTGCTATGCTTCTGCCCATTGCTCTTTCCTTGGAATAAGTTGCTTTCTTTTCTTTGTGGCTCAACTTACCATTCCAGCATGGCTGCTTGTCATTGAAATATGTCCATCTCTCAAAGGACTTGGCTACCAAAAAATGCTCCAGAGTGTTTTTCGGTCATGAATCTAAAACTGTACCAAAGGACTAGCCATTGCTGTCCACTAGTCCTTCAGCAGCCTGCCATGGGGCAAGCCTGCTTGACAGCATTGCTCTCCAGGTCTCAGAAGTTTGAACAATCCCATAGGAGCAGTCCATTGAGTCCCACTGCCCCCCCCCAATCCAAAGATCCATCAGCAGCTTCCCCATGCTTTTATTTCTTTTGTAGTAACTTCAGTGTTTCTAAACCAGTCATCTGCTCTTTCTGTGGCTTCTCTGCCTGTGTATAGTCTTTGGTGCTAATTTTTATTCTATACTTTTTTCAGTGAATGATACTAATGTTCAGTTTTTGGACCAAGATGATGATGATGACCCCGACACAGAACTGTACCTCACACAGCCCTTTGCATGTGGGACAGCATTTGCCGTCAGCGTCCTGGACTCACTTATGAGTGCGGTGAGTTGTCCAGCTCCCTCATCCCTACTTGGTGGGTAAAGGGTATGCCAGTAGACCACCTCTGATATAAGAAGCACTGGCTAGAACTTGAACTAGAGTGGTATGATAGTTAATCTTAATGGTTCCAATGTAATTGGCTTAAGAAAGACCCAGGGAATTAGTAAAGTGTATTTCTGAATGTGTCTGTATGGGTCGTGGAGGTGTGACTTTCGGTATTGTATATGGTCCTTGGCCCTTTCCTCTGTTCTCTTACTCTGCTTCCTGGCTGCCATGAATTAAGCTTTGTTTCCACCACACTGTTCCACCATGATTAATCTGCCTTGGAGCCAGCTGACTGTGGACTGAATTCCTCCAAACTATGACGCAAATTAAACCTCTCTTTTAAATTGTGTGTGTCTGATATTATATCTCAATGAGGAAAAAGTTGCCTAATACAGGTGGAGAACAAGATGCCATGAAGTTTGTGATTTACATGAATACATCAACGTTAACCAAATGGTCACACAAATAAGCATTTGATTATAAATTCCTGAAAGTATGAAGAAGGCAAGGAAGGCTATGACAGGTCTTGAAAGTCAGAGAAAGAGTCTCCAAGGAAATAATATAGATTTTAACGTTGACATCTGAGCCATACAGAGCGGAGATTTTGTGGGGAAGAGTATTCCCTAAAGGAGAAGGGAAGCAAATGGAGACTTGAGAGAGGGGATATGGGGAAACTATCTCAAAGAAGGCGGATAGAGCTTATGAGATGGACCCCAGGGAGAAAGGGACAGGGAGAACTGGCCACATCAGACCTATAGGACCACCAGATCTTTTTCATGGTTTTTGTCTCTTTCTCCCAATCAATAAAGAGGATGGAAGAGCTTAAAGTTGGAGAGTGGTCAAATGATGTGCACATCTTAAGGGAATTGCCTTGGCCAGTCTGTGAAGGTGGCATGGAAGGGTAGGATGTCAGTAGGAAATCTGAATGTGTCACTTACTATATCGTGTACTAGGGTAGAGATGGATGGATTTGAGTAGTATTTACTGGTAAAATTGATAAGATGTAGGGATAGATTGAATATGAGCAGAAGGTAGATAGGATGGCATGTGACTCCTAAGTCCCTGCCTATCGCTGAGGCAGTAGTCCTCAGGTGAGTAACAGGCAGGGGGAGAGACCTGGCCAGTTCTCTGCTACAGAAAAGAGATAGCGTGATGGTAAAGGCCTGAAGGCAGGCTGGCAGAGACATCAAACTAGCTTTTGCTTTTTTAAATAGCTTCATATGTATCAAGTGATCAAGGCTTTTTTTTTTTCTCATTGTTGCAACCAAAAGCCAAATAACAATCAAAAAAATAAATCCCAGCTTAATGGAACCTTCTTTCACTGCAGAAGGGAAAAGCAGACATTTAGAATGGGTCATAGCCTGTATGTTGTGAAGTATTCCCACTGAGTGTCTTTATTTACTGTACAGAAAATCCCCTTTATTTTGGAGTTCTCCAATTCACAATTTGTGAAAATGCAGAAATAGGCTGGATCAGAACTGACCTTTGGAGAATCCATGTAAGAGAGTTTTATTGAGCACATTAAAACCATAAACAAAACTCAGAGAGGTTTTATACACACACTTTTCTGAAACTGCTTAAGAAGGTTATTCTCTTGAAGGTGTTAAACAACTGATATGCTAATTATGCATTATTCTCCTCTATTCATTAAAACTAATCCCTGAAGGACCTCTATTTGAGGAAAGAAAGAACAGAGCTCTTAACGACTAATTTAGGCAATTCTGTGTTCCTGAATATGGCCCAACAGCAAACATATTTTAGTTCAAAATCAGAATAACAGATTTAAAAATAATTGTGAAACGACATTCATCTGAATCAAGGTTGACTGGGCTTCACACCATGCCAGTGCTTTCCAAGCCAACAAGGAAAGCAAATGATCTCCAGATAGGGCTCTCCTGGTGTCCTGGGATGCCTGTCCTTGCCTGATGGTACTGGGGCTCACTGGGTAGCCTTTCTACCTGCCGGTGAAGTTGGGCTCCGTTTGCGCTAAGTCCTTGAACAGGCCCAAAGGGGTAACAGAAGATACAGAATGTGCTTCTTGAGTGCCAGTTTCTCTGTAATAAACCTCACAGTCTCCAAATGCAGCTTCAAACAGATTTTTGTAATTCATCTCTTTAGAAATGCCATTTTAATTCTGATCTCATTAGAGAGATGGTAGAAGACTGTTCTTGCTAAGAGAAGATTAAACTGCTTACAGTAGATCTTTTTCTTTTTTTCAGAATTACAAAGTACATGGTTAAGATGTTTTAATATAAATTTATGAAATTGTTTATATTTGTACATATCAGAGATGTGATATATTTCAAGAAGGACCAGTTATATATTTTGCAAGGCTACTTTATTTATGAATCATTAAGAATTTCAAAAGGGTGATAGCAAAGCATTAAACCAAGTGAGGGTAGCTTCTGAGCATAGACCCTGTGTACCTACTGAAGTTGAACACCCATGAAGCTAGGCCACTTTCAAGGAATCAGCAGAGAACTTCTTCATAGCCAAAGAGACACATGGGACCGTGATGTGGAGGTAGGGGCACAGCTGAGGGTAGAGTACACATATGTCTGTGTGGACCATCACTAAGGAGTTAGTTCTTGGAAACTCAGATAGGAAATCAAAATGAGTTGGCTGCAAGTAATAACAATTTTTAAAAGTCAATTTACACTTCTTTTGAAATGCGAATGTAAATGTTTGGGAGAGGGTAGCCTAGTGGTCTGACAGCAGCATTTCTTGTGCATCCTAGTTTTGGGGGAAAAAAAGGTGTCAGGAATCTAGTACCCATCACTGTATTTATCAGCAGCAACAGCCTTTATTGAGCATTCAAAGGGCCAAGAGGCCCTTTACCTACACGACCTAAACTGTTGTCCAGTAATGTGAATAAACATGGTATCAATGTTAAAGCAAAAGTGGCCTGCAGATAGTGACTTTTCAAATCAGTAATCAAAATGCCTCTCAAACTGTTCCAGACCCTGTTGTTAACTGTCTGTGATGCCCAAGTTCCACAGTGAGGTTTTGAGTTAGAGCTATTTCACCAGACCCAACTGGATCTAGACCTTTTTGATAGAGTATTACCTTGATTTCTTTGAATGCTACCTCAGCTGTAATTTATGAACGAGATCAATTACCCAGGCAGGAGCTTGAAGGAACTAAAAAGGCTGGCAGGAATAGAAAGTGAGAAAATGAGGCTCCTGCACACAGCAGGAGCCAGAGGTAAGCTCCCATCGCAGGCATCTGCTCAACAGCACCATCGCAGCATCCACACACAAATCTCTCTAGATGTCGATGATCTCCTTTCTCTAGCACTTCTCCCCAAATTGCCATTTAATCATGTGTCTAAACATTCCCTGAATATTGTCCTTCATAACTCAACTCCTGCTGCTTACTGCTTCATTTGTTAAAAGAATAATGTTTGGATTCATCAGAGGCATTCCTGGAACAAATAGGGATGTTACAGACATGGCCTTGTGGCTTCCAGCTACAAATCAATGGCAGAAACCCAGGATGAGAAGGAGAGAGTAATTATGCTTATGAGTACATGCCTCCAAGAAGACGATCACAACTTAGAAATGCATTTTTCAGAATGTTCCCAGCCCGCTGCTCTCTTGCTCCCTCATCCCCACCCCACCCCTACATGATGAAAGGAAGCCTGTCTGTTTTTAGGACTAAAACTAGCATGTGAATATACCAATTTATTTCCCTCCTGGCTAATACTTTTTCCCAACCACAATCCCAGTTTATGTCCCACCAGAATACACTGGAAAGACATGAGACTAAGGGCCAGGCTGGTTGGATGCAGAGCCCAGCGTCCCCATTCACTGGCCCTGTAACCTGATCCTCTCTGTGCCCATTTTCTAGTCTTTAGAATGGGGGTGATAATTGGTACTTATCCCATAGGGTTGCAAGATGAGTCAGTAGTTAAGGCTGTGAAGTGGTCAGTGTACTTCTTAGCCGACAACAAGCTCTCTGTGTATTTATTGTCATGATTGGTCTTAACTTATTCATTTAATGAGCACTTAGTGAATGCCAGGCATTGCTCCCCATGCTGAGGATTCATCATAAAGAAGAAAGACCCTGCTCTCCTATTAATTAAACTTTCCTTTTTTAGTGAGCCAACTTAGAGATAGTAATAATGTAAGGGAATAAATGAGTAATATCACATGAGGAAAATGGACTAAAGGACATAGACTAGTTTGAACTATTTTGCATCGGGCCATGAATTAGACCTGGTTGACCAGCAGCCTTCACATGTCTTCCCCACAGTGTGGGGCTCAGCTGAGTCTAACTGTCAAATAAGGACGATAGCGGCAATCCTTTATAGCTTTAGGGTATTTGGGGAGGACAAAGATATAGGAAGGATCTTTCACTGAGCAGATATGTGTGACTACATAGATTTATTATATACACATATGTACATACATGTGTGTACATGCACCCTCAGCCTTCCTTTGTCACAGACATGTACAAACACATATGCACATCTTAGGGTGATAAGATTTAGGGGCTAATTGGGTAGATAAAGTAGGAATATCCAGGAGAAGTGTTTTCTGCATCCCCACCTCTAGTATTAGAGATCTGGTCTGGGCTTGCCAGAAGTGAATGGACATATGTCGATAACTAAAAGATGTGACCATCCGGACAACGGATCCACATGATTTACTGTCCAAGCTGAATGTTCACTAGGTCCAAGCCCTACATGGGTGTGTGGAGAAGACTGAGCCTTTTGTCAGTGCAAGCTGACCCAGCCTTGTGATTTCCGAGACATAAGCCAAAGACTGGCTATGGCAGTGCACCTTCCACGTCACTCAAAAGCCTCTGTTTCTCCTGCTCACAAGGAGCCGACAGTGCCCCGGCTGTGCTGAGGCAGTGGGTTGGTGGCAGTGTCCAAGTGGCAAATGTAGCTGTTCTGCTGGACTCAAGGGCATACCTCTTTGTCACATCAGGCCTAGGATCACAAGAAAAAAAAT